CTTCAACCTCCTTCTTGTGGCATCAGCCCACCATGGACCTGCCGGAGCCTCTTGAAATCTGCACTTCATTCCAGCCCATGGTGACAGCTCCTGCCTCCATGAAGATCTCTCTCTTCCACCATAACCCTTAAGCGTGCAAACTCCTTTGGGTCTGCCTTCCTTAGCTTAGAGCTGTGCAATCTGGGTGGGTCTTGGTTAATGCAGGGTGTGTGTGTGTGTGTGTGTGTGTGTGTGTGGGAGACACAGAAATTCCCAATGACTGTGAGGGAATGAATGGGTGCATGTATGAATAACACTCAGTGTCCACACAAATGAATAACACTCAGGTGTCCACACAAAATGTAGAGAGAATGAATGAATGACACCCAGAGATTCATTCCCCACAAATGGAGTGGAATGAATGAATGACACCCAGGATTCACTTCCACAAATGTAGAGAGAGAGAATGAACAATGATACCTAGGGATCTCCCACAAATGTGGAGGGAATGAATGAATGATATCCAGGATTCCCCTGTGTGTGGAAGAAATGAATTAATGACACCTAAGCGATTCTCACAAAATGTGGAGGGAATGAATGAATGACACCCAGATTCAGTTCCACAAATGTGTAGAGAATGAGTGAATGATACTCCAGATTCCCCACAAATGTGGAGGAATGAATGAATGATATCCAGGATTCACTTCCACAAATGTAGAGAGAATGAGTGAATGATACCTAGAGAGATTCCCACAAATGTGGAGGGAATGAATGAATGACACCCGTGATTCACTTCCACAAATGTAGAGAGAATGAATGAACATACTCCAGGATTCCCTACAAAAATGGAGGGAACGAGAATGAATGATATCCAGGATTCTCAAATGGAAGAAATGAATTAATGACACCTAAGGATTCTCACAAATGTGGAGGGTAAATGAATGAATGGACACTCCAGGATTCAGTTCCACAAATGTAGAGAGAATGAGTGAATGATACCAGGGATTCCACAAATGGGAGGGAATGAATGAATGATATCCAGGATTCACTTCCAAATGTAGAGAGACTGAGTGAATGATACCTGAGAGATTTCCCACAAATGTGGAGGGAATTAATGTATGACACCCAGAGATTCATTCCCACAAAATGTGGGAGGGAAAGAATGAATGACACCCAGATTCACTCTCCCCAAAATGTAGAGAGAATGAATGAACGATAATCATATCCATTCCCAATGAGGGAATGTGAATAAATGACATCAGAGTTCACTTCTGCAAATATAGAGGGAATGAATGAATGACACCCCAGGATCTTAATTTTTGGAAAATGTAGAGAAAATGAATGAATGATACTCCAGGGATTCCTCACAAAATGTGGGAGGGAATGAATGAATGACAATCAGGATTCACTTCCAAAAATGTAGAGGTGGAGAACAAATGAACTATTACCGTAAGATTCATCTTACAAATGTGTGGAGGGGAATGAATAATGACATCAGGTTCACTCGCAATATAGAGGGACGAATGAATGACACCCAGGATTCACTTCTGAAAAATGTAGAGAAAATGAATGAATGATACCCAGGATTCCTTCACAAATGTGGAGGGAATGAATGAATGACACCCAGGATTCACTTCCGAAAATGTAGAGAGAATGAATGAATGATACCCAGGGATTCCCCACAAATGTGGTGGGAATGAATGAATGATGTCTAGGGATTCCCCACAAATGTGGAGGGAATGAATGAATGACACCCAGGATTCACTTCTGCAAATGTAGAGAGAATGAATGAAAGACACCTAGATATTCCCTGCAAGTGTGGAGGGAATGAATGAATGACACATAAGGATTCCCCAGAAATGTGGAGGGAATGAATGAATGACACCCAGAGATTCATTCCTGCAAATATGGAGGGAATGAATGAATAAGTAACACACAGGCCTTGCTTGATAAACGAATGGGTGAATGCATAAATGAAAGAATGACGTGCAGGGTTTTCTCCCTAAACGTAGAGTGAATGAAAGAGTGAATGCGTGATGCCCGCTAGTTCTTGACAAGTGTGGAGCAAATGAGGAGATGAATGAATGAATGAATGCCACTCTGAGAATGCAGAGTGAATGAGTGATGGAATGTGTGGAGGACATGAGGAGATGAGTGAATGAATGAAGGCCACTGTGAGAATGCAGAGTGAATGAGTGATGGAATGTGTGGAGGAAATGAGTGAATGAATGAATGAATGAATACCACCCTGAGAATGCAGAGTGAATGAGTGATGGAATGTGTGGAGGAAATGAGTGAATGAATGAATGAATGCATGCCACTCTGAGAATGCAGAGTGAATGAATGATGGAATGTGTGGAGGAAATGAGGAGATGAGTGAATGAATGAATGAATGCCACCCTGAGAATGCAGAGTGAATGAGTGATGGAATGTGTGCAGCAAGTGAGGAAAGGAGTGAATGAATGAATGCCACTGTGAGAATGTAGAGTGAATGAGTGATGGAACGGACAGAAGGTGGCAGGGGCGGTGTTGACATTGGCCCCACCGCCTCCCTCTGGCCCACTTTGGTCCAACTCACCACTGGCCCTGACCTCTCCGCTGCATCCATGGAAACTGTGCACCCAGCACCCCTTTCCCCTGGGGTCACTCCCGCTCTGGGCTGTGTGGTTCTCTAGGACTGTCAATCAATGAGGAGAGGGGTGTGGTCCAAGTCTGTCAATCACTGAGGATGGGGGAGTGTGGTCCAAGCCTGTCAATCACTGAGGATGAGGAGTGTGGTCCAAGCCTGTCAATCTGAAGATGGGGTGTGGCCCAAGCCTGTCAATCACTGAGGATGGGGAGTGTGGTCAAGCCTGTCAATCACTGAGGATGGGGAGTGTGGTCACGCCTGTCAATCACTGGGGATGGGAGTGTGGTCAAAACCTGTGTCAATCACTGAGGATGAAGTGTGGTCAAGCCTGTCAATCACTGAGGATGGGGAGTGTGGTCCAAGCCCTGTCAATCACTGAGGATGGGGAGTGGTCCCGCCTGTCAATCACTGAGGATGGGGGAGTGTGGTCACGCCTGTCAATCACTGAGGATGGGGAGTGTAGTCCCAAACCTGTCAATCACTGAGGATGGGGAGTGTGGTCCAAGCCTGTCAATCCCCACTGAGGATGGAGTGCTGGTCAAGCCTGTCAATCACTGAGGATGGGGGTGTAGGATGGGGGAGTGTGGTCCAAGCCTGTCAATCACTGAGGATGGGGGTGTGGCCCAAGCCTGTCAATCACCCGAGAGGGGTGTGGCCCAAGCCTGGCCAGTTAGGGGGTCCGTCACCCTGTTCATAAAAATTATGGCAAGCAGTGGTCATTTGTCTCTGATATGGCCGGTCAGAACCCTTCAAGAGCCGTGACTTGTGGGTGCCAGGAGAGTGAGGGTCCCCTTTTTGATTCTGCTCTGAAAAGACGGGGACCCCAGACTACCAGAGACCCTCTTTCCATCCCTGTAGAAAAGGTGGTCTTCCTGAAGTCATTCCACACCCTGTAGCTGAGGGAGGCACAAAAAAGTGGGGCTGAAACGTGGGAAGAGAGAAAGAGAAAGAGGAGAGACTGGTGGCCGTTTAAGCTCCTGGATCCAGCCATGCCTGAAGTCCTCATAGAAATCCTAATTATCCAATTTGACACTTTCCACCTTGACTTCAGCGAGGTCGACTCAAGTTTCTATCGCTCGCCATAGAAGACAGTTATGCCTCAGGCACTAGGGGCAGGCAGGCTGGGCTCCCAGTTGGGAGACAGAATAGTCCTAGTTCCAGCAAGAGGGCCCTACGGAGCCCATGCCACCTGCCCTGGGCTGAGGCATGGTTATTTCAAAGGCAGTCACGCATCGTTCATCACTAATTCCCCAGTGCAGTGGTTCAAGGCTAAGAAGCAGCACCCAGCGCCCACCTCTGCCTCTTTCTGGTTGTAGGTCTTGAACACAGCCCCCCGCCGGCTCCATGTTCGCCTCAGTTTCCCTTACTGGTAAAACAGGGACGATCGTCATAGCACCTGTCTCACGAAGTTTCGAAAATCCCAGAGATAAGGCTGGGTGCGCGTGGCTCACGCCTGTCATCCCAGGCACTTTGGGAGACCGAGGCGGGTGGATCCTGAGGTCGGAAGTTCGAGACCAGCCTGGCCAACATAGTGAAACCCCATCTCTACTAAAATACAAAAAATTAGCCGAGCGTGGTGGCGGGCGCCTGTCATCCCAACTACTGAGGAGGCTGAGGCAGGGGAATCACTTGAATCCAGGAAGGGGAGGTTGCAGTGAGCTGAGATCATGCCACTGCACTCCAGCCTGGGCGACAGAGCGAGACTTCGTCGAAAGAAAGGAAAAGGGAAAGGAAAGGAAGAAGGAAAGAAGGAAGGAAAGAAAGAAGGAAAGAAAGAAGGAAAGAAGAAGGAAAGAAAGGAGGGAAAGAAAGAAGGAAAGGAAGGAGGGAAAGAAAGAAGGAAAGGAAGGAAGGAAAGAAAGGAAGGAAGGAAAGGAAGGAAGGAAAGGAAGGAAGGAAAGAAAAAGAGAGAGAGAGAGAGAGAGACAGAGAAAGAAAGAAAATCCCAGAGATAAAGGCCTTGCCAAAGTGGCTGCTGCATCCTGTGCACTCAATTGACGTCAACTATTTTTATTTGCGAAAACCAAGAACGACGTCTCCTCCCCGCAAAACAAAAGCAAAATAAAAGCAGAAGACAGGTGTGAAGAAGATTTCTGGGAGAGCACATTTTCAAGAAGGTGGACTTTTTCCATGTTTTTCTAGGCCAACCTCAGCCCTCTCTGTGACCCTCGAGAGCTTGTGCAGAGTGCGTGGCCCCTATCTTGAGGGTGTGTATCGTTTTGCAGGACTCTGGTGAGTCCGGGTTAAAAAAATCACACACCCCAAAGGCAGGCCGAGCTGAGGGTTTTCTCTGCCATTCAACCGCATCTCTGGCCCGGATCTGCTCTGTCGCTGGGGTATTTCTGCAGGGCGGCCTCTCCTCTCTGAACACCCCCAGGTCCCCGTGACTTACAGCGGTGGCTGCAGGGAGGGCAGACGTCCCGGGTGAGGCTGGTCTTGTGGTGTTTGTCTGAGCAGCCGTCAAGCTGGGCAGGGGGTCCTCGGGGACCCTCCTCCTCCTGGTCCAGTGGTGGCTGCCCTATGGCAGTGTGCTGTGCACAGGGGCAGGAGTGCAGGGCCAGCTCTGTGCTCTGCTAGGAAAAAGAAAAATCCCACTGGCTGTGCCTGCACCACACCCTGAGACAGACACGAGCAGCCTCCGGAGACCCAGCGAGCTGCTCTTAGCCGCGATCTGTCATCTGCAGACTGAACTTGGTGCACGGTGGTTATGAAACAGGCCAGACCAACAATAGATGGGAAAGGTTCCTCTTTTTGGCCCTGGGCCCCACGGAGCGGGGTCAGACCATCACACGGGGATTTTATGTGTTTTTCTCCTAATGCGATATTTTTCAATACGGCTTTTTTTTTTTAAATGAGTTTGGCCTCCATGTATGCGGGGCCATTGCCTCAGAAGGGTTAGTGTAGGATTCGAAAATGGGTTAAATTTAAGGACAGCTTCTCTTGCCTATATTGGATATGACTTTATGCTTTATGTGAAAATACTAATTTTTAAAAATATGTAAGTCCACAGTCACTATTTTTTTTTTTCTTTTGAGACTGAGTCTCGCTCTGCTTTCCAAGCTGGGAATGCGATGGTACTGCCTCGGCTCACTGTGACATCTGCCTCCCAGGTTCAGATGATCCTCCCTCGGCCTCCCAAGTAGCTAGGATAACAGGCATACACCACCACACCCGGCTATTTTTCTTTTTTGTATTTTTTTTTTTTTTTTATTTTTAGTAGAGGCAGGGTTTCATTATGTTGGTCAGGCTGGTCTCCAACTCCTGACCTCAGGTGATCCACCCGCCTCGGCCTCCGAACGTGCTAGGATTACAGGGGTGAGCCACCACGCCCGGCTATATATTCACTATTTAAAAGCGGTGCTCATTGGATTATGCTGAGACAGTTTTTTTATTTGGGAGCTTGAGGCTGCCGTGAGCTGAACGGCACGGTACTCACTAGACTGAACTGAACCGAACAACTCACACCACTGCAGTCCAGCCTGGGTGACAGACAGAGCAGGATCGTGTCTCAAAAATAAAAGGGAGAGCCCTTTATGACAAACAGCTAGCTCAGTGTATATTTTGTGCGTTTTCTGTCTGTTACAGGCTGAATGGTACCCTCCCAAATTCATACGTTAAACTCTTAACTCCTAGGACCACACGACGTGGCTGTATTTGGAGATTACTTCTTTAAAGAGTTGACGACAGTAAAATGAGGTCACTAGGGTGGGTCCTGATCCAATAGGACTGAGGTCCTTATAAGAAGAGGAGATGAGGACACAGACACACACAGAGGGACGAGCCTGTGAGGACACAGGGAGAAGACGGCGTCTGCAAGTCCAGGAGAGAGACCTCAGGAGGAACCAGCCCTGCCCACACCTGGATCTCAGACTTTCAGCCTCCAGGACTGTGGGAGAATCAGTGTCTGTTGTTTCTAAGCCACCCAGTCTACAGTATTCTGTGATAGCAGCCTGAGATGGACTAAGACATCTCATAAGAAGAGGAGATGAGGACATAGAAGCACAAAGAGGGATGACCCTGTGAGGACACGGGGAGAAGACGGCATCTCCAAGCCCAGGAGAGAGGCCTCAGGAGGAACCAGCCCTGCCCACACCTGGATCTCAGACGTCCATCCTCCAGGACTGTGGGAGAATCAGTGTCCGTTGTTTATAACCCCCCAGTCTGCCGTGTTTTATTATGGTGGCCGAACTGACTGCCCCTTCACTCTGAAGCAGGTGGGAGAAGGCGAACGTCGGGGATGCTGCAGAAACCTGGGCCGAACGGAAGTGAACGTGGGTGCCACTGGCTCGTCCCTGCTGTCGAATTCCGAAGACCATCTCGAGGCCATCGCCGTCGGGAGTCTCGCTCCCCGGCCTGGCTTCTCGGTAGAGACGGCGCGTTACGGGGTGGGAAATGGTTGTGAACCGTGGTGCCCCGCCTTGGGGTTGGGGAGCCACCCGAGAAGGCACACAGCCACAGCCACAGCCACAGCCACAGCCACAGCCACAGCCCTCCCGGGTGCGGCTCCCTGGGATTCCGCCCTCTGCCCTTACAGAGGGTTTCTCTGTCTCTGCTCGGTTCACAGGAAGCAACTTGTCTGCTGTTCCCAAATCTGCTTCTGGGGGCCTCTGTCCTCTGCTCTTTTCCTGGAGGGAACAGGCTGGGAAGGAGAGTGGTGTCCCCGTAAAACATTCAGGCAGCCACCACTTCAGACGGACCAGTCATTCGCAGATAGCTAGGACATGGGGTCATGTTCAACACCGCTTCCCGTGACTCTCCTTCCTTCCTTCCTTCTTTCTCTCCTTCCTTCCTTCCTTCCTTCTTCTCTCCTTCCTTCCTTCCTTCCTTCCTTCCTTCCTTCCCTCCCTCCCTCCTTCCTTCTTTCTCTCCTTCCTTCCTTCCTTCTTTCTCTCCTTCCTTCCTTCCTTCCTTCCTTCTTTCTCTCCTTCCTTCCTTCCTTCCCTCCTTCCTTCTTTCTCTCCTTCCTTCCTTCCTTCCTTCTCTCCTTCCTTCCTTCCTTTCTTTCTCTTTCTTTCTCTTTCTTTTTTCTTTTTTCTCTTCTTTCTTTCCTTTCTTTCTTTCTCTCCTTCTTTCCTTTCTTTCCTTCCTTCATTTCTTTCTTTCTTTCTTTCTCTCCTTCCTTCCTTCCTTTCCTTCCTTCCTTCCCTCCTTCCTTTCTTCTTTCTTTCTCTCCCTCCCTCCTTCCTTCCTTCTTTCTTTCTTCTTTCTTTCTTTCTTTCTCTCTCCCTCTTTCTTTCTCTCTCTCTCTTTCTTTCTCTCTCTCTTTCTTTCTATCTTTCTGTCTCTCCTTCCTTCCTTTCTTTCCTTCCTTCATTTCTCTTTCTTTCTCTCTTTCTTTCTCGTCTTTCTTTCTCTTTCTCTCCTTCCTTCCTTCCTTTCCTTCCTTCTTTCTTTCTTTCTTTTTCTTTCTTTCTTTCTCTTTCTTTCTTTCTCTCCTTCCTTCCTTCTTTCCTTCCTTCCTTCTTTCTTTCCCTTTCTTTCTCTTTCTTTCTTTCTCTTTCTTTCTCTCCTTCCTTCTGTCCTTCCTTCCTTCCTTCTTTCTTTTTCTTTCTTTCACTTTCTTTCTTTCTTTTTCTTTCTTTCTCTCCTTCCTTCCTTCGTTTCCTTCCTTCCTTCCTTCTTTCCTTCCTTCCTTCCTCTCTCTCTCTTTCCCTCCCTCCCTCCCTCCCTTCTTTCCTTCTTTCCTTCCTTCTTTCTTTCTTTCTTTCCTTCTTTCTTTATTTTTGAGACGCAGTCTCGCTCTGTTGCCCAGGCTGGAGTGCAGTGGCACGATCTCGGCTCACTGCAACCTCTGCCTTCCTGGTTCAAACAGTCCTGCCTCAGCCTCCCACGTAGCTGGGACTACAAGTGCCCGCCGCCACGCCCAGCTACTTTTTGTATTTTTAGTAGAGACGGGGTTTCACCATGTTGGCCAGGCTGGTCTTGATCTCTTAACATTGTGATCCACCTGCCTTGGCCTTCCAAAGTGCTGAGATTACAGGCGTGAGCCACTGCACCCGGGTGAGTATTTTTAATATTAGTGTTTTAGGAACTCAGTCACTCCACTAGCAAACCAGCACGGATAGAAACGCAAACATCAGGCCGGGCGCAGTGAGTGGCTCACAGTTGAAATTCTAGCACTTTGGGAGGCTGAGGTGGGTGGATCACTTGAGGTCAGGAGTTCAAGACGAGTCTGATCAATATGGTGAAACCCCATCTCTACTTAAAACACAAAAATCAGCCAAGCGTGGTGGCAGGTGCCTGTAATCCCAGCTATTCGGGAGGCTGAGGCAGGAGAATCGCTTGAACCTGGGAGGCGGAGGTTGCAGTGAGCCGAGATTGCAGCACTGCACTCCAGTCTGGGAAACAGAGTGAGACTCCATCTCAAAAAAAAAGAAAAAGAAAAACAAAACAAAACAAAAAAAAAAAGAAACTCAAACATCACAGAGACAGAGCAATGTTTAAAAAAAGAAAATAGCATGTTAATTAGGGTTTTTTCTTTTTGTTTTCATGACAGAGTCTCACTTTGTGACCCAAGCTGGAGTGTAGGCTGGGCTCCGTGGCTCACGCCTGTCATCCCAGCATTTTGGGAGGCCGAGGCGGACGGATCACCTGAGGTCAGGAGTTTGAGACCAGCCTGGCCAAGACGGCGAAACCCCGTCTCTACTAAAAACACAAAAATGTGCCCGGCGTGGTGGCGGGCGCCTGTTATCCCAGCTCCTCGGGAGGCTGAGGCAGGAGAATCGCTTGAACCCGGGAGAGGGAGGTTGCAGTGAGCCGAGATCGCACCACGGCACCCCAGCCTGGGTGACAAGAGTAAACCCTGTTTCTAAATAAATAAATAAATAAATAAATAAATAGTATTGTGGCCGGCATCTCTAAGAAGGTACCGGACTTGCTGAGGTGTGGAGTGAAGTAGCACACAGGCTGGTGAGCGATGGTTGGTTTGGGGGCAGTGGGACGGCGAGGGGTGTGCTGGGGCGGGCTTGGAGATGTGGGTGTCAAACATGCAGCTTAGGGGGTCCTGACCGTCCAGGAAGCTGTGAGTACTTTGTTTGGCGGCAGCTGAACCCAGGCAGCGGGGCCGAGGAGGTAAGAAGCAGAGATGGATAGGCAGCAACGCTGCCGGATGCCAGCACAGCAGACACAGATAGCACGAAGGATAAAAATAAAGACCAACTGCTCCTTCCAAGCTGATTCCTGCTTTGACCTGGAGACTCAAGCTGCTGCTGAACTTTGAACAGCACCCACAGTGTTAGAAAACTATGAAGGAGGGTCAGCCCGTCTTGGTGACAGCCCCCAGAGGTGACCTCCCCACACCCACCAGACCCACAACAGCCAACTCCATTTTTGTTTTTTCAGACGGACTTTTCCTCTTGTCGCCCAGGCTGCAGTGCAATGGCACGATCTTGGTTCACCGCAACCTCCCGTGTTCAAGCAATTCTCCTGCCTCAGTCTCCTGAGTAGCTGGGATTACAGGCGCCCGCCACCACAACGTCTGGCTAATTTTTGTGTTTTTAGTAGAGATGGGGTTTCACCGTGTTGCTCAGGCTGGTCTCAAACTCCTGATCTCGTGATCTGCCCTCCTTGG